GACGGTCGACGACATAATTAAGTGTAGGTAGCTTATAAATAAGTTTAGATATGGTCTATATTATTATTCAAGATAATAATAGTATGTCCATCGACTTCTGATTATCGGAAATGTTTATTTTTGTCACAATTTGTCGCGCGGTTGCCCGGTGCCGGCCGATTACGAAAAACGCGAGTGCTTGAATGGAGTGGGGGAAGCCGCGTTTTGTCGTTTTACGCCACCAGGGAATAATTCGAAAATAATTAGAAAAATTATTTTACAATAATTCCATATGCTAAAAATTGTTTTGCGCGGGACAACATTACTCCCTCAATATTAACATTAGAATTACCAAAATTGTAAATCCTTACTAAGAAGAAAATTATCTGTGTCGTAGCGTCGTTATTTTTTTGATAGCACTACCCAATAATTTTTAACAATCATTTGAAAAATACAAAAAAGTCAAATGTTCTCAAACCTATAACTTTAAACGTATTTATGTTATCCAAAAAATAAAAACGCTACGACATAGATAAAATTGTCCTCTATATGTTGTAAAATTTTGATTATTCTATTATAATTATAATGCGAGAAAGGTTGTCCCGCGCGAAACAGTTTTTACAACCGAATTACGAGTGGTGTGGCGTCCTCTTAATATAAAATGAGATCAACAGCCATTTGTATTTTACTTTGTATTCGAAGAAAAGAACAATAACAACACAAAAAAAAACATTTTCAAACTACTAACATTCACTATAATATTATAATTTAAAATACTTTTTGCATATTATTTTTTATTATTGTATAAATGATTACAATAAAGTAAACTAGAAATCAAATCTAAAGAGTAAACTTATTGTACCTGACTATTGGTCAAAGAACAATATATTAGTAGATAGTAAGAAATAATTGTTACATCTATATATGATTAAATAACTGGAAAACGAGAGTATATTATTATTTAGACCATTTTTTATTTAAAATAAAATTATATAGAAATCAATTTAAAATGTTCCTATCTTCTATATGGGAAAATAATATTTCATATAGGTACCTTCATAATTGATCATATAAGTTAGGTTTGTATGTATAAATAACTATTAATCTAGTTAGGTATATTGCTACTTATAATATAAAAGTTTGATATTAACTTGTATACTAGTATTATAAGGTAGTTTTCATTAAAATATTGTTTAGAAATAAGAATTTTATATTTTAGAAATTATTAAAACAATTTCTAATACTTATAAAACCACTCAATAGTGAATTTGAATGCTATAAATGTATAGTGTTATTACCACTAGCTAACACTAATAAGCATTTCATGTAAAATTTGAATAGCTATTATTTAAAATAATTTAAATTTGATTTGCGTGCACTCAATCCTAACCTAACCCATGGGTTTATAGGTCTTGTCGTTGAGTATTGACGTATTGTATATTGTGTCATAGACTTAGACCATAATGATAATGTCTAGAATTATAGACGTTAAGATATGTGGTCATACCATGGATCATTTTTGGTTATCAATTTATCATCAGTCATATATTGTTTTGGTGAATAGGTGTAAGGTGTATATGAGAGAGAGCTAATATTTAAATGGAATATGACTGCCGGTCGGCGGTCATTCGATACTTAAAATGTTTTTACACTTGCGCATTTTCGGTGTTCACCCACTCACAGATACACACACTCACAGACATATATATAAGTCCGTCTGTAAAAGCGAAAATGTTTTTCGAAAGAGAACCGGTAACCTAATAAACACGGTGTGTATGTTGGCGCGGGGTCCAAAGTGCCGAGTGGCCGCCAACACAGCTCGTACGGTCCCGCGGGAACTTCGCCGCCGCCTCTGGTCGGGCAATTTGGTCAATTTGCTTCGTAAAAGAAGAGAAGAAGAACACAAGTGGCTGGCGCGCGCCAAGGGGAAACCGTTGTCATTGATAATTCCTTCTTTTTTTCCTCTCTTTCTATTTTCTCACTACACCTTGTCCCCTCGCGTACACCGAAACGCTAACGTTTTTATTTCCTCCACCGCCAATCAATGTGCACCAGATCGTGTGTGTGTGTGTGTGTGTGTGTAAATATATATATATTGTACGGACGTTAACTTCGTTTGCCTTTGAAACGCGTACAAGGGCTGCCAATACGACAGCAAAATTATCTCGTAATTTCTCGGACACAGCAGTAATCAACGGCAGCTCTATATAACGACATATCTATATTATGTACTTCATTATCGCTGTACCCGTCAAATCTCAAAATACACACCCGAAGTCCCGAACCTCAAGGCATTGCCAATTGTCAAGCTTATCGTAAATCTTGAGGCGTATAATTGTTGAACATACGCTGTAAGTCTGAATATATAAATTCAGAATTTAAAAAATACTTATGCACTCATGAGTAAAAATTCGTCAAGCATCGAAAACATAAGATGTATAATTTAATTTTAATTTTTGGAAAATATACACCTAGGTTTTAGATGAAATACCTATACAAGTAGTATCTACCAAAAATGACTAGAATATTTGAATGTCAATCTGTATTGCTATGTGCATACAGTGCCTCATAAGTCATAACCGTTATGTATTTATATGTGTGCCTATTATGATTTATATACGTTTTTAATTATATTTATTGAAAACTAATTATTGTTTTTTATGCAAACTTCAACGATCTTGTATATACATTTATAAAAACACAATATTAATATTATATTATAATTTTTATTTTATTTTATCTTAAAGCACAGAATATTTATATTATTTAATATTACCTACATGATATCTAGATACCCTAAATATATATTTATGAATTCAAGAAAAAAATGGATTGCTATATCTTTTATTTAGAATTTTATAAGTAATTTTATTAAAACGAATTTCAGGGTTATCATTTATTATAATAAGTATCTAATGCAACGACGTATTATGTTCCAATAATTATAATATTATATCATAACTTACTGTAACCCGAATGCGTCTGCTTGTCACTTGGAATTGTTTTATGTTTAGAATTTTCGTTTGTCTATTGTATAAAACAGTTAGTAGTTCTTAGTTCTTGTCAGTTGTTATTAATGCGAATCAAATGTAAATTTTTTTTAAATCCTAATTAAAACTTTCTGGTATGGATCGATTATAATACTTAAATAATATGTTGTTGTGCTTGTATACTTTATAACAATAATAACTTAAATTTATTGTTAGAATGTATACACATAAGTTTATAAATATAATATAAGAGGATGATATCCTAGAGTATATTTTTGATTAAATGTACAGTATATATGTAATATATGACTCGGATGCAATTGATTGTGTGGAGAGGGTAGTGTTGGGTCAAGTCACTCCCAAGGGAAATCGGCAGATATCGGTGGACATTATTTTCCCCTTAAAAACAAACAGTCTTATTAATTTAAATCCGTTTTCTTCTAATAACTTCTAGGGTCTTATATGTTATATATTTAATTGGTAACTGACGTAATGATTATATTTACCTAAAGTTATTTTCCCATCACACACGTTATCGTGGCATAAAAAAAATGTTTATATCGTATCTTTAGTTCATTATTTATTATTATTTTTTAATGTATCGTTGACAGTATTTTTTTCTCGATCACTCTTGACACAATATGTACTAAGCAGGAAATTTATTGCTCTTCTGACCAGGTTGTTAGTGAGAAAAATGATACGATCGGTGTAAAAAAAAAGATAGCTTATATAATTTAACGATTCATAATACCGAAAATGGTCGTGTCAGAATATGATATGAATGATCACAATAATGAAAAAAAAAATGTATTCCTACCTATTGTCGTCTACACAATAAAATGGTCTTCGGGCAACACGCATTGCTCATAAATATTGAGTATATTGACTGTCCCCTATCGTATTTAGATCGTCTATTGCGTCAGCCGTGTAAAATACTCCAGTATCAGCCAGTCACATTCAGAAATAGTAAAAAAAAAAATCATCATTATACATTTTTAAGATACACTAAAAACCACATTCGAATTCAAATAATATATTTTGGGTTATTTAAATATCGATATTCGAATATGAATTGATTTATTAAAATGTGTTCAATGTATAAGGCTAGGTAGTAATTAGTATTCTATTATAAATTATAATAGTCATATTATTATATTATTTAATTATTGTATCAGGTTCAGATTTCAGATATAATTCAAATGAACAAATTAATGCAATTAATGAAATTACAGTCAGCAAATGGCAAAATAAATACTTTCCTGATACCTAATTCTTTTATGTTAATTTTTTTTGAAACTTAATAAGCTATAGTTACTATAATAATATAATATCAACTATATCATTGATATAGTGACAGTGGAATTATTATTTATACGAGTTGGTAATTTGAAAATTTGTTAAGGTCAGATTGTTAAACATAACATCACGCTCTCCCGCCCTCAGACGTTTTATATTATATAAGGTTATTACTTGCATGATGCACATGATACAAATTGTATTTGGCAGCGACTTCTCGCCATCTCGTCGTTCTATATGCAACAACGACAACGAAATAATAATATGTATAAGTATTAAGTACAACGATTAACGATACAACACATTAATATTATACGATCGAAAAACCGGTAAATTTGAATTGTTGACAAATCCGGAGAAAAGTAATAATAGTTAGCCGGCGCGCAGTGTGTGCGATATGATGTACATCGACGCATGTGACTTGAATATAACGCTCGGGGGTTTGTCCGTCTATTCCATACATGGACTCGTCCGGTTACTTACTTGATCAATATTATTGACGAAGACGACTACGTGTGTATATGGTTTAATAATTAAAAACGAACTCTCGACAGCTCGTGCATTTTAATCATCAGATTTATAATATGTTTCAGCAACAAGTTCCATTAAATTTATTATTCCCATTAATCGATATTATGTGTGAATATATACTTCTTATAAGGCTTATCGGATATCTATGGTTTTTAATTTTAATTCGTTTTTTATTTATTATTATTATTATTTTTTTTTTTTTAGAATACTCGAGTTGAGAAAAGAAAAAAGTCGAGACGCAGCTAGGTCAAGACGGGGCAAAGAGAACTACGAGTTCTACGAGCTGGCCAAAATGCTACCGCTGCCTGCAGCAATTACATCGCAGTTGGATAAAGCGTCCATCATACGGCTGACAATATCTTACCTGAAACTGAGAGACTTCTCAGGCCACGGTGACCCACCATGGACTAGGGATGGTCCACAATCCGCATCCAAAAACCTAAAAGGTAGAGTAACACGCATTTTATTCAACTATAAATAGTAAATGTATAGGTATGTGGGAAACGATTGTGGCATTATTGGTTCAATAAGTTGGATATTCTATTGCCAATTACATAACTAAACAAATATTATTAAAGTCATATCTTTGATGTATAAAAGATGGTTTTTAATGAAATTAAAACGTTCTATATTACAGACTATCAAGAGTAACGTTTCTTTTTAATATAGTTTATTTTTTGTGGGGTTGATGTCTGCACTTGTCGTTGCCGTTGCTTTTGACAATCACTAATTTGACGAATTCAGTTTAACTGCGCTGACTTCCGTATTGTAAAATCCCGTTTTTCTTCCGGGTGCGCGAGTACAGTTTTTTTGGGGGGTTGTATTAAGGAAGACAAAAATAACTTTTACACTTGACCGGCATTCAATTAAAGGGCAGATCTGTTTGAAATTTAAAAAAAAGGACTAAACATATAATTTTAAGCATTTTTTGTTATTTGATAAAATTATTAGATAATGTGTTCTTTACACAGTTTCAAATTATACGATGCAATTTACAAATGCCCTTATTTATCGTATAGTTTGAACAAATTATAGTTATGAAAAGCTTCCTTGGTGAATATAGGTATTGAAAAAAATTAACATTAATTTCTCCACACATTATTTAATGAAAAGAATACTGTATTCAAGTAAATAAATTCAAACCATAAACAAAAACTTGCATATTAAATTATCTTATTTTACGTTTTGGTACACTACAAGAAATAAACTTAATATATACCTAATTGTGTAATAAAATTATTACTTTTGCAGAAGGGTTTATATACTGCCTAATGATTTAAGTAGATATATATATTAATTGCTTTGAATTGAACATTTTGAAAGATATACAGAAAATAAAATTTTAAGTTTACGTTATAATTGAAATATGAATAAACAAAATGTGTGTAGGTACTGTGTAATATAATATAACAAATATTTTATATATATTTTTTTTTTATTGTAATTATAGTAGGTACTTTATTCTTTATTGTTCATAATTAAACATCTATAATGCAGGTCCAATAAATTATGTTTGTAGACTTTTGGTAAGTAACCAATACGATTTATTCAAGTCTTTTGAAATTCTTCCCAGTTTACAAAATGTTTTAATCACACTATTCATACTCTTTAACTCTTGAGTACACTTTTTTGATAAGTTATACTTTTAATGATCCTGCCACTTGCCAGTATACCATGAAAAACTTAGTTTTTAGGTATATACCTTTTTTAATTTTATATGGGGTGATGACCACACTTTGACCACCGTACAAATGTCAATCAAAACATTACCAGCCTGCCGCCTGGTGTAATTTGATTTCGCGTTTAAATGCACTCGTCGAACGGTCAAGTAAATTCGTTTATTCCACCCAACGTTTATCGAATTACCAGTTATCGAGTGTCCGTCGGGACTATATAGCCCGCGGGTGACAGCAGTCTTTTCGTCAGTGTAGATTGTGCTTGTTATATTATGATGTGGTTTTGCTCACAAAATATATTGTAGGTACCCCGAACAATTGTCGAACCTTAAAAACACCTACGTTTTTAATTCAACAATTATTTTCCATTTTTTCAAAGACTTTAACCAGGTATATATTTATTACAAGAAGGATACAATGATTACGAAGATATGGGTTTTTAGTAAAATATATTAGTAGTTTGTACAAATCCGTTCAACTCAATACCTATGTAATTTGACTGCGAAAATGTGTATAGTTCTTTATTGTAGGATAAACGCAGTCAAACATATATATATATAAGAGCAATAATAATCAATAATTATTATAATATAGTGAATAGTGATAACATATAATATTATATTGTAATATTTTCCGGTTCGTTTGATGAGCCGCGGGCGCTGCACGAACGATTGACTCCGCGCACATATTATACTGCAGTTTTCTGACTTGCAATGATAATAATAGTAATAATAACAGTAACAGTAACAATAATAATAATGATAACATTGGTATATACGGCGTAAGTCGTGGGTGCGCGCGCACACAATACGGATCTAACTAGCTAAACGTCGCGCCGCCGCCAATATTACGTGTATAAAAGAGGGTGACGGCGGCCGATTTAGTTAACGGCGGCCGCGCAGCGGTAGTGTTATTAGATTAACAAGGAGGCACCCACAGCCGACATCCCCGTGACGGCGTGCGCAACTTACACATACGCACACGCACACCCACACGAAACCCATATACACGAGTACGATGAAATTTGCGTACATTATAAACGAACACTTTGTCACGAGCCAATTTGCATACGTAAGAGGCGAGAACGCGTAATAGGTTTTGTGACGGAAGAGGGCGATGGGCGTGGTCAATACTCGCGAAAATCATCGAGCGTGTCTCAACAATATATTATTAATAATCGTAATAATAATAATAATTTATATTCACTGCTCAATTATTATTGTATTGCTCGTCGAGATGCTCATCTGTCCGCCAGTTCGCGTGCCGGCGGCGACGTCGAAAGCGCCCGTGTATTATAAACTATTGTAATATTACGCTAGAACGATTGGCCAGCGACATACAGGCGAACCGATTTTTCTATCCTTACAAAATATGACATAATGCATACTTTTTCCACAGTCAATATAGCATTATTTTAGTTGACATCATAATATATAGGTATTGTTATTATTATTATTATAATATAATGACTGCAGAAGAGGCCGGCGGTGCCCGAAAATTCACCATGTCGCAGAGTTACCCCGTTTAAGTCACCGGCTCCTGGTTCGATTAAACCCTCACGGAATGAGTATCCCAAAAATATGTATGAAACTATAATAACTATCAATTAATATTTACGTCGTTGCCACTCCACGCACAAAAATGTTAGGTTTCTAATGTCATGTTTCATTTATCATATAATATGGTCGCATTGCGTATTATCCATAATTATAGTCAAGTGTATGACTTGAATTTTAGACTCGTAAATATTTATATTTCATTTTTTTTCAAAAATCTTTTTTAGCAAAATATATTATATAAAAAAACACATTATGAAGGTTGTTAAGGTTTCGCAATTATTTCTTATGGTCCCTACCAAAAATAATATCTAATTTCAGCTATTGCATTTTTATTATGTTGTATCGAATGTTGAGCCTTTAATAGTTTAATGTATGGCATAAAATTATTTGTGACACTTCAATTATATATGTGTAATAAGAAAAAATTACATTTTCTGTCCAAGAAAACATCATACTTCAGTTTTTAATTTTAAGTGCATTTAAACGACTCAAATAATAAAAATCTTAAAAATAGCATGACATCTTTTAACGAAATACAAACATAGAATAATTTAGTTTATATTGCAATATGTCGTTAGAATATAATACTGTGCCTATACGTCTGTACTCTGTATATATTATAGACATATTAATAAATTTATTAATGTGTCTAAATGGTATAGATCCTCCTGGAATAATTTTGAGACACATACTGCAAATTGGTCACAACATGATAACATAATAGATACAAATTCTGTTTATATACTTTACTAAATTGTCCATGTCAGTTAATCAGCTTATTTTAAACACCGTTCATTTTCTACTGCGTACTTGATATTTTTTTTTTATTGATTATTATTTTCATATTATATACTCAGGTTATACCGGAGAGTATCATGAAATATTCTCGGGAATGCTTTCCAATGATAGTGACAAAACTCAGTGTCTATATAATATTATATATAAAGTAATTGTTATACAAAGATAATATTGTATATATAAAGTAATTCAGAGCTTTCTTGTTCGGTGACACAATAGGAGACTGGCGTGTAAAAAATAAAAAACAGAGGGACAAGGACGAAGAAGCTAAAAGAACAAGAGACAGTTAGTAATTTGTGACTCGTGTCTTGAAAAAAAATGACAATTCTTTCCACGGCTATCAGCACGAGACTCGAGAGCACATGCCCATTGTCCAATACCTAGACCGCCAAACTCATCTCTCTCCACGGTCAATCATCCGATCAATATTTATATCGTACCACCGTTACGGCAATTATTTTGATTACACCTCTTGCCAGCAAAAATTCTATACATGCTATCAACATCAACATCATCATCACTATTGTATATCGTACCTACGTTGCTTACATCCACTAAAATATGCCTTACTCCGTTACATCTTGTCGGGTACAAAACACGATAATTTCATTGTAACTATTTCAATTTTTTTATTTTTAAAAATCATAATAGGTAACTCTAATTTTAAAGTAGTGCGACTTAAATTAAACCTATTTATACATTAAGCACATTATATTTTATATAATAAGTTTTTCAAAAAAATTTTCCATCTATTATATTATAATTTATTATTTTAAGAGGTTAGGTCTGACATTGGTTATTCATGCTATTCATTCAATCATAATGTATCTATTTGATTTAAATCGCAATCATATAATATTATACTGTTAGATCGATAAACTATAAGATAATATTAATTTATGTAAAAATATTTATTTGGCGGTTACAGTTACACTGTACTTTTTGGATTATAGTGAAATCGTCACCACCATGTGGTTTTAAACTAATAATAATTCCATGTTGACAATATCTCAATAACCACAAAATTTGATTATAATTCATGGGTATAATAATTGTAATAATATTTTCGTCAAACAAATCCGGCCGACATCACTTTAAAGCGAATTAAGAGTGCCTGGGGGCTTGTTATCATCACAAAGAGGAACTTAGGGTGAGAAGAGTTTAAAACACTACCCGACTGATTGCTGGGACCCATGAATAAACCTCGAGCTAACTGAGTTAAATGCAAGGGGAGGGCTTTAAACATTCCCCCCTTTCTCTTTTTATTTTTGTGGTTTCAATCAGCCACCCGCAAAATAGGGGGACGGGATTTGTTAAACACACACGCGCGCCACCGACTTAAGTTAATTTGGATAACAAAGGTGCACTTCTCCACCCTATGTTTATATATGTATTTGTATTTACAGCCAAGTAAAAAAAAATTCAAAAAAAACTGATTTAACAACAATCGAGGAAGAGTTTTGCATTACAAGTTTTCATCAGTTTGACAGAGGTCAATTTCTTATATTCTCTAAGCCTTTAAAATATATAATTGGTAAAATTATATTAAGTGGAAAAATTGGTATAACGATTGATATTAAAAGAGTATTTTTAGTTATAGTTATATATTTTAATACAATTAATATAGTATTTTATATAACTGATACATTTCATTTGATTCATAATATATGCATATATTTCACTAATTTATAGAAGTATAACAAAATTTCTGTGACAAATTATTTAGGTAGTGTAAATTACTCGTTTTTCAACATTTACTATTATTTTAACGAAATCAAACTTTGTAATTGGGCATTCAACCCGTGGTTAGTTAAACTATTATTATAAATAACTAATAAATACCTACATCTATATCTTACGATTAATATTAACTTGATTCAATTAAATGCATAAACTATACTGCAGTTATTATCGATAAATCTGAGTGTAGATTGGATTCAAATCATTATAAAAAATAATAGATCAAAAAACAAATCTGGCTCTAAAAAATTAGATATTTTTGTCGGTCCAAAATAGTATCTAAAAGTACAATTTACAAAAACTAATTTTAAATTGTATTTGACACTCATATAGAATGTATTCCAAAAGTTGGAAATTTTCCCCTTAGTAAAAAGAACAATAAATAATTGTTGACACCGCCAGGAACACATGTGGTAGTAGTCCCAAGGGACGATTCTCCTGCTGCAATACTTTATGGTCCTTGGTAGTGGTGGTATAGGTGATATTAGTATTTGGAATATGATATAGGCATCTACACAGTGTCATAAGCATTTTTGAAAACGTAACAATGTATTATTTGTAACTAAACAAACGAAGATAAATTCATATTACACGTTTAAGATAGGCACATTTTTATAAATAAATGGCTATAATAATTGTGTATAGACTTATTGCGATTGGCTCGATTATTATACCGATTAATAAATAAGGGAGATATGTTATTAATACCAACACATAGTATTACGCCAGACTGTTTGTGCAAAGTAAACGACCAAGTTGCCAAATGAAAGTCGCGAGGGTGCTTAGGGGACGAAAATGTTTACTCAGTTGAGGATTAGGATAGACTTTTTTGATTAAACTAGATGTATTTATGTAGGGGCTATGGAAACAGTTCTTATTTGAGGGAAACGATATGATTTTGCGCATTTAATGAAAAAATACACAAACTGGATACGATATAATAATATAATATATACTATATATAATATGTGCGATGAAAATTAACTAGAGAATATATAGAATGTTTATAAAATATGTTTCAGGAACCTCAGCTCGAAATAGATCTCCTAGTACCATCGCCTTGGAATTGTTTGAACAGCACCAAGGCACACATATACTTCAAGTAAAAATTAAAGCATACGAATTAAAACCACGTCGATACTATTAATATGTCTTATTATTTTTACAGTCGTTGGACGGTTTCGCTTTTGCGTTAGCTGCCGACGGGCGATTTCTATACATATCAGAAACCGTGTCCATCTACCTAGGTCTTTCTCAAGTGAGTATTTTGAAACACCGTGCAATATTAAATTATATTTGTTACTCAATATGTATAAAAGTGTGTACGCTATAAAACAACGTAAATGCCATGCTATACTACAATGTTGAAGTCTTTACTTCCCGTATACAAACTCCCCTTTGAATATGGCACATATATTTATATATAATATGAGTCGGACAATATTAATTGCACTCAACACTGTTCTACTTGAAACAGTCGGGAAACACTTTGCTCCCTTGTTAACCCCCCGTGTATAATAATATATTAATCCAGTTTAAACTGAATAACGATATGTGATTTCATAATATTATTTAAATACACCGTCACACTGCAGCGTAACTTGATACGTACACAAATACATAATAATATGAAACAATACCAAAATATAACTTAATAACTTATATCAAACACTACCAACTTTAATTTGTCCTTCCGTTTTGGTAATGACCCGAATTCGACCAACTTAATATCTAAAAACTCGATAACATATTTTAAAAATAGTTTTTACTTTTTTATGTTATAGTATTTACAGGAAGTATTGTAACCCTATGGATAATTGGTATCATTTATTTTCACGCTTCTTTCAGAGATATTAAATTAACGTTAGGTATAGGTTTATATTATAATGGCATTAAAATAAATTCCCTTGTTTAGTTCATTTAAATTTCTTCTAATTCGTTCATTGTTGTTTGAAATACTTTTTAGTATAACGTTAGGTATGCTTATGCCTATTGTTTTAAATTTTTATTATTTCTCGTATTCTCTTGGTTGTGTTTAATTTTTATTTCTTTAAATTTACCTGAGCTATTCTTTGATGGACATATACGATTTTTTTTCATGGAAATATTTAACCACATACCATTGGTTTTATAGGTATACCTACTATAATTTATAATATTATAAAATCAATGCACATTTTTTTATTTGTAATTCCCGAAGAAATTATAGGTACTTCTGAAAATGTTTTATCAATATTGTGTATACAAGTATACAACTATATAATAATTCATTAATAATATAATGGAACAATATATTTTAATACCTAGTCATAATATATAGTAGGTATAGTAGTTATAACTTTACTTTCTTGACAACTAATTTCTTTTATTCCTCTATAATCAAATCAAAATTATAAGCTATTAAAATTAATAAGCCATAATAGATGTATAAAAAAATTTCCACATAATATCAAATATCGAGTTGATTTCTAATATCGTGCTATTTAAAAAATAGGCACATATAATATAATTTTAAATTTAAATTCCTCAATAGAATATATTTTATATAAGTTTGATTATGTAGTAGACACTTATCTACAATTGTATAGTCTTGTTCACATAAAAAAAACCAAATTTTCAGTTATTATATTTACTTTTCGTCCCAAATTTATGTGTGACCTCATCATACTGATTTTATTTAAAATTTTTAATTTCTATAAAATTGTTACTTTTTAATAATATACAACTATTACGCAAATAGTTTAATAGTCGTTAGTCATTATTTATACATTCATAATACCAGAGTTGTTTAGTTTGTTGGGTGAAATGTTATGTAGAAACAATCGTCAGTTCTAGAAACCTATACCCTGTACACCATAGTCCTGTGTACAGACCACGTCAAAAGCGCAAAAACCCTGGGTCTCCCCCGTGTCGGCCTTTGCAGCATAGCTATTGATTGTGTCAGGCGGGCGAGAGAGAGTACGGTTCGGAATTACGAATGAGGAACACGCTCGCACGGCTCAAGTGTACGTGAGTCGAATTCGAGTCGAGCCGGAACCCACCCGCGCAACCTTTAAAACCCGTCAATCCTCCCTTACCTTTCCCGGTGAAAGGGGGATGAGGGGGGGAGTGTTTGTAGACCATGCGCACAACCATATATATATAGTCTAAATTAACGTTACGGACGGTAACAATGATGGACGATTCGGGAAGATTTTTCACTAAGTCCGAATAGTTTAATTCCCCTTGTAACGTACAACCAATATCTCAAGAGGCTTCCAAATGTCAAATCGCTATGGTAGTTCCTTTACTTATCCTTGTTATTTTTTGCAGGTAGAGATGACCGGTAGTAGTGTGTTTGACTACATTCACCAAGCCGACCATTCTGAGCTAGCCGAACAATTAGGCCTAGGACTGACTCAAGGCCAGGGAATGGCATCGCCGTCACCCAGCAGTGCTGGTTCCGAAGAAGGAAGTTCTAATGTGGGCACGGCAAATCCTGACGGTGAGTTTTCATCCCTTCAGACAACGGTGGCCACACTCTACGACGTTTCACGTGATTAGCCACACGCTCACCCTGAGTGTTTTTTATTGCCCCGTCACGCCGTACAGAACACTGAAATGCAATCCAATTTATAACCAAAAAATAAAATAAAAAAACATCTAGTCCGAGGGAAAAATTAGTTTGGTCCTTTTTCAGTTACAACGCTCGATCCGATAGTGCGTGACGGAGTATTTTTATGAATTGACGCAAGGGGCTATGATCTTAAACCTAATACAAGTTCACACAATATAATTTTCGTCAGATTCTAAATTTAAAAAAAAAGATATATTAAAATCGTTTTAATTTTTTCGAAATTATTCTTAAACTTTTACATAAAATTCTTGTAATATATACGAATAATGAATACATAAAAATATAACCATTTTTCACACACTGACCACCGATCATGTGCTTATAGTTTGGAACATTATAATATCGTATAGACTTTCTGGAGTATATAAGGAAGCACGGATCATTAGTCCGGCCGCAAACGGTCGTGACTTCGAACACATAATTATATGAGGTTGTATCCCATTGCTGTGTAACTAATAATATTATGCTGTCATAGAATGAATACGATTGCATGGACATTATATTTTATTTTTTAATAAATAGATAGGTAGGTAATACAAAAATTATTTTACATTATTCGTAATAATTAAATAATTAAAAATTTGCATTAATTATAGGTAAGTATATACAAACATGTTTACCTTTAAAAGAATAAATCTAGCAACGAATGATCAATAAATTATTTCATAATAATGAAACACATGATAAAATATCCAATAAAATTTAAAATACAAAAAAAAATTGACATTATTACCTACTATAATTATTATTACTTTATACAATTTTCAGTTTCGTCAGTGATGTCTCTATCCAGCACAAATGCATATAAAGGCTTAGACAGAGCGTTTTGCATTAGAATGAAGTCTACGCTGACTAAACGTGGTTGCCATTTCAAATCCTCCGGATATAGGGTGAGTGTACACATATATATATATATAAACTTTTCTAATACGGATATTATTACCACCGTATAGGGTGTAGAATTATACATTTCATCCCACTTTCCCAGTAATATATGAATTCTCTTATTTGGAGGGGAGAAGTGTAATTTTCAGACCAAAATTGTAGTAAAGGGTTGATGGTTCGGTGATTATTAAGCTTAAAACAACCGAAAATGAGTGCGTCATACTACCTATATAGTTTGAAAATATTTCAATTCTAATAACTAATCAGTCATATATATGCAATTACCAATTTCACCATACTATGAAATTTCATTGATACAATTGTATATTTTTCTATAAAACAGTCATTATTTTATACACCAATAAAATATTAAACTTAGTATAGGTACCTTCTTACTTAAATAATGTTTCAAAATAAAATGTATTTCTGTGCACAACATCAATACTAGAATAATCATATTGGAGTTGTATAAAATACGAATGATTGTATTGACCTAATAAAACAAGGGGATGTGAAATAAAGACGAAGCAAATACAAGGGTTGAAGGAAAATTCTACCCCAAATATAAATGATGATTCATTGAAACCACTAAAAATTAGTACTTTTGTTCGAGATACTTGTACTATTTTAATTGGATATTTTCTTGAGCACCCAAAGCATGGTTTCGGTCCAAATTTAACAACAAGAGAAAATAAAAGTCCCAAAAATAAAATGAAATAATCGAATACGTTAGAATATTTTTTTTTACTTATTGTTATTTGTTTACATAAGGGTTATTCATGTATAGAGAATTTCCATCAGCTTTGTGTATATGTAACACATACCTATAATATATAAGATAAACTCGTAGGTATAAACACAATATGGTCAATGATGCATTTACAAATTCCATACTTTGGCAACCTGTCACCACAAAACTGACCACTGTTTAAATGTAAAGGTATATAGGTATAATATAGTATAATGTGCGTATGTATATTTACATATTATGTGGTGACAATGACAAAGAGAAAGCTTTTCAAACGATGATAAAACAAACTGATGTTGTAATAAAAATAATTATAATAATGCACAATTGGTGTTCCACAATGGTTACATTCTTATATAAAAGTGTTATTTCAAACGGATAAAAAAAAAAATTATATTTGACAAATTAAAGAAAATAACCATTATAAGTACCTACCTATTACTTATTCAGATATTACATCACCACATTATTCTCCCCTATATACGTGGTAATTTGTTTCATCTTGATTTTTGATTTATTCCGATGGACTAATAAAAACAAGATATCGGTTAAATAACCATGGATAATTATACATTTGGGTCCGTAGACTGTGGACGAGAGAATAAATCCCAATGGTTTTTATATACCTTGTGCATGTGTGTGTTCGAATGATTTGGGTTTTATGGATGAACGATTCTGATAATTTTGTTAACGTCTATTCTGAATGAGCCTAATTAATTAATTAAATCGCCATAGATCCGTGTCCAGTGAACGTTTTGTTTTAAAAACAACTTCCTTAACAAGTTTGCACTAAAAGAACAATAGAAAACAATTTAATAACAATAATTGTGCGTGTCATGCGTTTGATCATTTTGTTACGATTTCATTGTAGCCCAATAGAATGAAAGACAAAAAGCAGATGATACTTTAGTATTCAACGACAATATACAAAATTCGATTCACATAGACACGAAAAAAAAACAATTACTATAGTCGGAAGCGTCCAAAAAAAAAAAAAAAACAATAATAATAATAATAATAATAATAATGTACCACATAACGTGTAAACGTTTAGAGTATAGTAAAACGAAAATTGAATGACCGAAGTAGGCGGCCGACTTAAGATCGTTGTCAGGATGTACAAATCATATCCAGTGATCGTGATGAGTATACAAGAGAAGAACGCCTCTGGTTCCAAGAGGTTGTTTTTTCTCTTTTTTTATGTAATTTACGTGTCAGAACTGTTGATGTCGCGTTAACCACTGTTTTTTTTTCACACGCCACTAACAGTCGTACATTATATATATGATGTATATCTACAATATTATTAAGGCGATAAAAACTCGTCAACAACCTTTACCTTATGGCTTATATAGTATATAATAAATAATAATACACATTATAATATATACACAGTACACACACCAGCCACACAAAACATTACATTTTAATTTACTAGGTAATTGTGATTTTTTTTGAACTTAAACTCACAATCTTACTCTTATGTCTCAGGTGGTGCTGTTGATTTGCAGACTGAGGCCACAGTACACGTTTTCGCACAATCGGAAATGTGCGCCACCGCTTTTGGGCGCAGTGTCCCTGGCTATCGCATTACCCCCACCAAGCGTGCATGAAATCAGACTGGAAACCGACATGTTCGTCACAAGACTATACTTCGACTTTCGAATAGCTCATTGCGAACCAAGGTAATTATATCGACTGAGATGCTCAGATATCTATAGAATCTAGATATTTGTTGGAAATATTCTAGTTTTAATATAAAGCATAAAAATACAAAAATATTGTGATGAACTCGAATATAAAATAGAAACAGGGTTTTTTTCATATCAAGAGCACACAATGTTCGAAAAACTGTACCAATTTATAACTATAATTAAGCAAAAAATATGTCTATTATCAACAACTCTATTATTTTTATACTTATAATTTATGTTTTGGAACATATAACTATGAATTCATCAATTAGGTATTAAGCTGCAGTATATAATTTTAAAACATACAAAAAACCGTGAGACCCATTTTTGTTGAAGTTATATTATACATTTTGAGTTTCCGTGTATAGATACGCAAATGTATAACGATGATTTATTATTGTTATCACAGGGTGGCGGAAATACTAGATTATACGGCCGACGAACTGACTGGTATGAACATGTATACCCTGTGTCACGGCGAGGACGTGGGGAAACTCCGAAAATGTCACCTAGACTGTAAGTATATACTGCAACATTGAACATGCAAGCACTATAATGTTATGGACATCAACTTTATAATATTATTATATTATAACACAATAAGGTCGTTACTATAGTTTTGAATGGTACGGCGGCGGTCCGCATTGTAATAGTATACGCTGCAGATACAGATAAAAATGTAAAATAATATAATACGGGTCTGGTGATGGTTAGAGTATCGTATAATTTGAGGTGACTACGTAGGTATACTTCAACTAGATATACCTCCTACCTATGATATACCTACATTATAATATCTCGCGTTAACTGGCATATAAATGGTGGCCATTTATATTTATACGCGATCGTAATTGAATAACGACCGGAAGAGCGTCATCAGTATTCAGAACAGTAATACGCACCGAGTATAATATTATAATATGTATACCTACCTACCTATTTTGTCTTCACCGAATACATCGTACACGAGACGATGACTCTTGTTGGTGGACGACGATAACATCTAACGTGTGGCCACCGGGGTAATGGCTGTATGGTCCGGTAATAGGGGGAGGGCGGAGCTTCCGGTGCGATACCTGCCCGGCATATTTCAACAGGCGCAAGTGCCTCTGTAGCTGTGCGTGTGTATTATCATCATCATCATTATCATTGTCGTCGTCATCAGTATAGGAAAGTACGAGGGTATGGACTATAATGTAATATTTTGCCATGTACAATGACAAATCTGTGAAGGAAGAACCAACAATTTTTGTGTATGTTATATTATATAACTATATAACCATTACATATTATAATATACATATATATTAGGTATCTATACCCAGTTGGTGTACAGCTATTTGCATATGCATATGCATAGGTACATTTCGCTCGTCTTAGTGCAGAAAGTGCCTGGAAATTATGATATAGGATACTCAGGTATACGTATTTTATTTATTAAATTATTCTATTTTGTGAAATATATACCTAGGTATACTTTTAAATTTAATACACATACATAAATAACAATATAGTAAATACACTTTTTTTTAAATATAAAATATGTTTTTTAAATACAAATTATTTTTCTGGACCCCCTCCCAAGGAAAATTTTGAAAATCCGCCACTGGATGTAATTAGGTAGATATCATACGTACCTATTGTAGGAAACGAAAGAGACATTTAATGGATAATATTATTATGGCCATCGTCCCACCGACCACTAGTCTCTACTCAGTACCTATACTACTGTCTACTATAGTCTATAATATACAGTATACTACCGTAGGTACATAGTACCTACTGAAAGTATATAGATAGGTAGGTCGTATAGTCATGCAGTCGACGGAAAAACAATATCCATTTCGTCATATAGTCAGATCGAATGAGTTGAATGCTTAAATATTATTATAGCGCCGCCATAGATCCGTCTTCCCAAAATGAATGTATAAATATTCCACTCGAGTCGCGTGCAAGTGGCTTTCGGACAATAATAAAAATTTGATATTATATTGTTATAATATATGAATTATTCGTCATGTGTCTGTAGACATTATTTTATATAAAACCATTCCCATTTGTAAATTTTTAACTCTTAGTTCCTATAGTTTCCTACCTATTTATACACTGCTTTATAACAATAGCTGGATGTCCATGTATTATGTAAGTTCTAATATATATAATATACATATATAATTATGAACTTACATCATACCTAGTATTTAGTAAATATACCCATGTATTGGACTTAGTGTGAATACATTATTTTTTTCAATGTAATGGAATTACAATAATTGCATACACTCGTATAATTTAATAGTTGACCGTTAGGTAACATCATAATATTTTTTTTGTTGAAACAAAAAAACTATAAGTATCGGACCAAATTATTATTAAAATTATAGTAAATATATATCAACAGTGAACGAAGAATCAAGAGTATCAATAGATAACCTAATTTGTTATTCCAAAATAATTTAAAACTTTAAATATATAATATATTATAATTACCTATAATCTTAGTAATATTTCATTGAAATGAGTTGATTTTTTTAACATATATTTTTATAATAGAAGCTATTTTACGTTTATTTACAAATTTTTAAACTAACTGGCAATATAAATCATACAATAATATAATGCAATTCGGTTCTTAAAAATATAACATAATATAACCTATTTAAAAATGTTCTATCTGTCACTTATCAAATTAACATTTTTATTTATTTTTTCAGTGATTAACAAAGGGCAGATGATGACGCATTACTATAGGGTGATGAATAAAAATGGTGGTTACACTTGGATGCAGACGTGCGGTACGGTCGTCTGTAACTCAAAAAACGCTGAAGAACAGAACATCATTTGCGTCAACTATGTAGTCAGGTAAGTTGTATTTTATTTTAAATTTTAACCCCGCGCCAATTAGGTGTGTCCCCTCGTTTTGTATTCAGAACATTCACCAACTATAATAAAAAAAAAAAAAAAAAATGTGCGTAACATTATCCGAACCTCTGCGGAATATTGATCGTGGTGTATAATATTATGTATAATGTATATATATATGATGATTTTAGTGCCAGAGAATTCGACAATTTGATAATGGATTGTTGCCAAATGGAAGAGCATATTAGACAGAGGGCGGTGAAAAGAGAAGAAACAGGAGGCAACGACCCTGAGAACGGTTCACCCGATGGCGGTGGCGGTGGTAAGTGTCATGTGATATGACTTATATGAGTCTGATGGCGTCGGTCTAGTTATAACTGAATATCGATTATTTTTAGATGGGCGAGGAGGAAATCCTAGAAGAGATCACCTAACACCTGCCGACCTGGACGATGGTCATTCGGCAGACGGACAGGGTGATCCGACGAGAGGCAGGAATCATGTGGACATAACGCAATTGAACAACGCACCATCTGAACGATTACAAGTGAGTTAATATGATTAACATCGTAATTTAAATTACTTATTGTAAATGAAAATCAACATATTTTACAATGACGTAATGGAATTAATAACTAATACAAAAGTAATAATATCACGATACCAACCACGTTTATATGCAGCAGTTAATACTTATTGATTTAATGTGAATTGAACTAATGCGTATTAGGGAGTGGGTATTTATATACGACTAAAATATCAAGATTAGATATCGAATAAAATCTTAAGTTAATGCGAATGTTATTTAGTCCATGTTTTATACTTTGTATATTCCATGACCAAAACAACTATGAAATTTTTTTTCGATTTGACGAATCGAATCAAATAATAAATGCTCATTAGTTTAATGTGAATTAAAAATGCGTTTATATGCACCCAACTCCCAGATTAACTCAATGCGCATTGAGTTAATACTCATTAATGACTGTATACCGTGTGTTCAATTTTAAAGGTAACAGGAAATATTTCGATCGTGTGACATTGAATTTGAATCGGGGTTTTTATACTGCATAAAGGACTTATAAATACATATTTTTTTAATGAATTCAAATTTTTAATTTTTTTTTATCAGCGCATGCGCAGTAAAATAAAAATTTCTTAAATAGCAACCACTATTTTGGAGACCGGATTTCGATTTCTTTATTTTTTCTGAACAACTTTGATCTTTACAGTTTGTTGATATCTTCAAAATTGCCATGTTTATGACGGTCGGAAGTATTAAAATAGTTAATTTGTAAATATTGCATTTTTCAACGGTCTATCTTAATTTATAGGTATTATTATAACAATTTATTTTTATTAAAACTACTAAATTATCTTCTACTATTATCTTAATTTGTTTTTAATAGTATTATAATGAAAGTTATACTATTAACCTGTGTGAATAAGATATTTTGATAGCATTCTAAAATTGATTGTGAATAGTCAAACGTTTTTCGTAAGTCGCGCGTGACACATTATTTTCTGTACAAAGGCAAACTATTCTGAAAAAACCGATATGGTATTAATTTTTGGAGAATGTCATCAAAATTCGCGTAACGCAGCGGCACTTTATGCTGAACGATATCCCGAGAGATATCATCCACCACACAATTATTTACGAATTAACTATTTTAAAACTTCCGACCGTCATAAACATGGCAATTTTGAAGATATCAACAAACTGTAAAGATCAAAGTTGTTCAGAAAAAATAAAGAAATCGAAATCCGGTCTCCAAAATAGTGGTTGCTATTTAAGAAATTTTTATTTTACTGCGCATGCGCTGATAAAAAAAAATTAAAATTTGAATTTATTAAAAAAATATGTATTTATAAGTCCTATATGCAGTCTAAAAACCCCGAATCAAATTCAAGGTCATACGATCGAAATATTTCCTGTTACCTTTAAAATTGAACACACGGTATATATATATCAGGTTTGACTACCAACTTGTAGGTATAATACTACAATAATACTGAAACGTGTATTGTGTTAGTGTACCTATACTAGATCAGTTGTAGGTACACGTCTTGTACCTACTTATGTGACTTTGATGCGTCATTATTGTAGTTTTTAAAGTTTAAACTAAAACATTATGAATTATAAAATTATATATCGTACTATGGGTACCAATCAAAAATAATCCTGAAAAGCTATATTATATTTATAATATAAAAATAATTGAAATTTGTTCTCGTTTTTCACTATACTACAGCAGTTGTTATTTTTCATGTGGTACTTGCATTGGTATTATGTATAGAAAATGACAAGTTAAGAATAATATAATATAGATACTCCCATTGGCCATTATTCGTAATAATAACACACGATCGAAGACTCTATAGAGTTAAGAAGACCGAACATAGAAGTTTCATTGGTCGTTTCGTTCAATTTAAGGACGGTTTTGGCATTTCATAATATACCTATTATACACACCTAACTTTACTATTCCTAACGTTCCTGCAAAATTAAGCATCCATAGTTTTTAATTGATCATGACTAAATAGTTCTTACCTGTACGTTTTACGTAAACGTACAATAAACCTACGGTCACTTTATTATCTTTTTTCTTATAGTGAACCTTAAGGTTAATCAATGAATGAGAAATAAGTGTATAGGTATAGTTTAATACTATAAATACTTATGTAGGCACCTTTCAGGGCCGAATTAAAAATGCGCAAGTTTTTTAATCGTGTGTAAAATTTTACAGTATCTATTTATACGTATGCATGTGGTTTATTATGTTATTATATAACATAATATTATACTTAAATAATTTATAGGTGGGAAGAATACCGATCCGGTGCCCAAAATGTCTAAATATAGCTTTGGCACCTACATAGAATACATAGAATATGCATTATACAATATACAATATATTGTATTATATTGAGTGTTCTAGATAATTTTGATGTTTATTTATGTTTCGTCTCGTTTTAGTTGAACAACAACAACAGCATAGGAATACAACCGAAGAAGTCAGGCAATGACAAACGGAAAGCACATAAAAGGAAAATCGCTGACCGGGACGAGGCGGCTGAGGCGGTGTTGGCGGCGGATAGCTGCTGCAGTAGTTCGGAAGAAGACACTTTGGTGAACCGGAAGCAGCATTTCGCCAGCCTAAGCCCCGCTTCTTCGTCGTGTCAATCCACGTTGCCACCCAGTCCACCGAAAACGAATGGCAGTGGTAGTGACAAGAGGCCGGCTGCGAGCGACCCGAACGCCGTAAAAGAACTTGAGCACGCTATGTCCAAACACCTGCCACCGACCACGGACAAGACGTCCACGTCATCAGTGGCGGCAGCACACCAACCGACCGACTTTAGCACGGACGCGCTGCTCAAGCAACAGCAACAGAAGAGTACGATCCAATGGATCGGGGCGCACCACCTGGGACACCACCACCATCTTCATCAGCAGCAGCAACACCAGCAGCTACAACAACAGCAGCAACAGCAACAGCAGAACGGTGGCCTACACCTGCAGCAGCACCAGCATCACCATCACCCCTCCGGGCCACCCCACCACCATCACCTACAACATCACCAACAGCAGCAGCAGCAGCACCACCATCACCACCAGGGCGCGTCGCCGCACGGCCAACAGTCGACGGGCGGTGCTCCAGGTACCACGTTGCCCGCTTCAGCACTGCTCCGACAGATATACGCCAACCGCGAGTCGGTGATCCGTGCTAACGTGCACGCTCCCCGTTCACCCGGCGCCAGTGCTGTCTCGTATTACACGGGTGAAATGAGCACGTTGCCCACGCCGCCGGGCAGCGAGGGCGGTTATTCGGAACAACAACAGTTTGGACCTCAGAAAAACGAGTTCGGTAACGGCGGCGGCCTCGCAGTACCACCGCCGTACAGTTACGCCGATTATCATACGGCCATGACGCCGCCGTCGTCCGTGTCGCCACGTGACAAACATCAACACCAGCACCAGCAGCAACAGCAACAACAGCACCAGCAACAACACCAGTATGATTTGTACGGGCCACCGCCGACGTCCGCGGACGCGTTGCTGCAGATACGGCAACAGCACCTGCACCAGCAGTACGGCCATCACGCGGAGGTGACGTCGTCCGCGGCACCGGCGCTACCTCTGAAACCACAGCCGTACAACCCTGCGCCGCCACCGCCGCCCCCGCCCGCCGTGCCGCTCGACCATTATGATCAGACGTCCGCGGCCGCGGCAGCTGCGGCGGCAGCATTTTATCATTCGGCCGCCGGTTTTCATCTTTACCATCCATCCAAGTCGACTATGGCCACTGGCCCGCCGCTTCCACCTCCGCCACCGTCATCCGTGTACGCTGCTGACTCGTTGAAGAACCATCACAATTGGTACTCCACACCCACTTAGTAAGCAGTTGGTATAGAATTATAATAATGATGACATTTCATATGTACATTTCACCCCTAAAACCATCCCCATATAAAAGCATATGGAGAGGAGTTAATTTTTAAATGCAACACGCCTCACTCGTATTTCCTTGGACATATTATTTTCGATAGAATTTAAACAATAGTCTTATTATTGTTATTTGTTACACACAACAATTTGTAGTGTCTATCATATTAATGTCTGGTAACTAAATAAATTCTGGTTAGGTATCAGTATTCGGTATTTACTAAATACATATTATAATAATATGTATCTACATTGTTATTTATAGAGTAGGTACCTATGTTACATTTTGCCATTTTTTCTCTCATTCTTTTTTAAACGCATAATATTATAAAGTTCACTTTGGTTATTATAAAACAAAAAAAAGAAAGGAGTAAAAGACTGGAATGGTTTGGACACAATATGGCCAGGGATTACACTTATAAATGCTATATTACACAGGTTCAGGTGGTGGTCGGAAAGAATATAATATACTAAAAAAAATATATCATTTTAAGTACTATTAGTACTGTAACAAATACAGGTAGCTAGGTTGTTGGATAGAAAAATATAATATTTATAAATTACAATAAAATAGGTGCCTTTATAAAATGTTGACAGGTATAAGGAATTCATTGTCAGATATTATGATGATTACCCCCCCTCCATTGAACGTGACATTTACCTCCCTAATTTACTCATAAAAACTTTAAATTATTGTAAATAGTACACTATAAAGTACAAATAACTTGATAAATATCACAAAATCTTAAACTTACCATTATCAAAAAATAGTCAAAAGGTAGTGTAAGTTTTAAGTACCAACTTGTAAAATACCCATATATTATCTACACCAATGTATGCGTTTTATTTTATTTTATATAACTCATTAGGTGTCCAAGAAAATACGGGTCTTGCATAAAAAATAGCACCCCTATTATGTGCGATTGATATACTTAGCTTCTAATTATTATATTTGCTGCAGCTGTATTCGTTTGAGACTGTAATATTGTCATTATTCTTATTTAGAGTTATTAAACATATTGTGTATTATACCAATTTTGTAAAAACCTATACCAAAGGTTGTATAAAATACGTAATACCTACTATACATATTATGCACATAATTAATATTATGAACAAACTATATATTTTGTTAAGACTACATCCTTTTTTTTATACCTACATATTTTAACCAAAGATTGTATTTTAGTGTCGAATTTTTAAACTGCGTGCCTACCAATTTTTAATAAATTGACGGTGTAGGTACTTACCATTGCAGACAGTGACGTATATAGGAAGTAATTTCAGTGGGGAGTTTATAAAAAAAAATATATTCAATTAATATTATAAATTAATCGCCGTATTAAAATGCCGTACCAACCATTAATTTCGGGGGTGGAGGGGTTGAACCCCAACCCCCCTCCCCTATATACGCCATTGACTGCAGGTGTGTATATAGTTGCAATGTTTTTATATTAAAAAAATTGACGATTTCGACATCGAGCGTTTATTTTTGGTTTGAAATGTAATTATGAAAACTTATTAAGTAGGTAGGTATAGTTAACTTTAATGAAATATTTCCAAATTTAAACTCAATGTCATTGCACAACCTATATTTATGTACCTATTGAAAAATACTTCTCATAAAATTATATCCAGTCAGAATGGCGGTACATGTTTGTACATATTATTTTATACATAAGAGATGAAAATAATGTAGACTTTTATTATAATTATAATTTAATAGGTCTGTAAGTTATACGTATAAAACATCATATCAAATTTATTTTTAAACTAAGTGCTGAAGACATCACAATGTTTCAGTCTTGCACTCATCTGTATTATTTGTAATTTACGAAGTGTTTTTATAACGCTGTCGTTATGAGTTATGACTCAGTAAATACTATATTATTATTTTTTATAATTCAAATTTTGTGTTTTTCCCTTAAACAAGAATTGTATTGTTTGTAAACATGTTAGGTGGTTAATTATTTTATTATTATTATTATTATTATTATTATTATTTTACGTTGGCTCAATTAATTTGTATATAATGTAATTTTTTACACAAATATGTATAATATATTATATATATATATATTAATATTATATAATATTACTATTATTATTATTATTATTATTACTATTATTATTATTACTACTATGAAGTTAAAGCTGTTAGTAGGTGTTAACTGAAATGTGCAATAGACACACGTTTATATCAGTGATATTTATTCCTTGTTTGTAATTTAAAATATAAACAAAAATAAATTTTAAAAAACGGTATCATGTCAATTGTTTTTTCATAAATGTTTTTCTTGATGTCGCAATCACAGAAACCATTTTTGATTCGTTCGTGCCACTCAAACTCCCTCCATAAAATAAAATTGGCTGACATTGAATGTACCCAAATTTTGAGTAAAACTCTGGTTTGTCAGTTAGTATGAAATTTGTAAACCAAATCTATAAACATTATTTTAACATTTATATATAATTTCCATTTTCCAGTACCTACCTACCTTTGTATCTAGATATTAATATATTATTATTACATGTTTATGTATTCTTCAGTCTTGAACAAAATACATTTTCCTAGTCCTTGTCGTGTGTAATGATTTACTATGACGACCACTTAAACAATAACAATTTTCATTGTGTCAAACATTGGGAATTTAGACAATAATCTATACAACATTTTCTTTATGGTGAATGAGGATTTTAACAAAGTATCACAAGATTCTTCCAAACTGTGTACCATGATTAAAGATAGTACCTATACAATATCTTTAATCGTGATGTGTACCTAACCTAAACAATTACACATTAATTCAGGGCTCGTAACTTCATGCACTAAAAAATGCATAAATAAGCATGCATTCATGCACTAAAAATTGTCAAAATATGCATTAAAATACGCACTTAAAAGTTCAAAAAATATATGCATTATATGCATTCAGAGGCGGATTCGCCTATCGGGAAATCGGGAACCTTCCCGATGGGCCGGTTCTTGTGAGGGCCGGCAGGGCCGCTATAGTTATTACAAAAAAATTATATTTTTATAAATTAAGCATAAAATATATTAAAAATCAAATACCTACGAAGGTATTATTTTTAATATCTTAAACTATTGCAATTCATAGTAGTATATATTTCGTCATTTTTACGTATTTTGTCAATATTTGAACTTTAAATGCTTATAGAAAAAAATTGTGACTGGATTTTTAATTTTTTTCATCTGCCTTTGAAACAATATACTAGGAGCTTTTTATTACATTTTCAAGATTTTTAACCAACAAATAAAATTTTATTGATATTTATAGAAAAAAAAAACTGAAAATGTCCGTAAACAGCTCAAAGTAAGTCAAAATGTTATGGTGTATAGAAAATGCTAATATAAACATTCGGTCAAAATTTCGTGTACCTACAGTCATATTTATTTTGGAGTTGCTTCAAAAACCAAAATCGATTTTCTCGAAAACAGATTTTGGGTAAAAATTCCCCGATTTACTTAATTTTTCTTTTGTTTTTCACGGCACTTTTGAAAACTACCTGGACATTTTTATTTTTGACCCCCCAAAATACCAACTAAATTAACTTTCCTATCAGAAAAGTGAATCTAGTTGAAGAAAATCTAAGTATTTACTATCTTTACTGTCCTAAAATTAAAAAAAAATTTAATTTAAATTAAAAAATTATAAAAAACACATCATTGTAAAATCAATACATTCATCACTTCGCGCAGAATCTAAATTATAATAAGATCAAACTTCAAGTTCGAGTTAGAACAGTCTGAACAGGTTAACCTTATCTGACTAACCTTAAACTGTTATAACTTTAATTATAGGTACCTATTATATATTTTACTAATTTATGGGTGAAACTAAACAAATTTTGAAATTTAACTCTTTGAGGGGCGAAAATTTCCTTTGGAAAAAAAGCCCATGTGGGCAATATGTCTCTTTACCATAACATTTAGTACGTATATCAAAATATTGATAATGATAATAAATGATGAAATACGCGAGAAATGATATCAGACCAGCGGCAGTGATATTGTTTGATGCATGTATTAGATGATAATAAGGTGGTTGGTATGCTGACGATTTTCAAAAAAATATTAAAAATAATTTTAAAAGTGGTTAAAATAGTAACCACCGCACCTGAACGGTAAAAAAAAAGTGATTAGCATACTAACCACGGCCCCTCAAAGAGTTAAGTAAAATGATGAACTTTTTTTTTTTGGTGGGGGGTTACGTTTGCGGTGCAGGCCGGTTTTATCCATATTTCCCGGGCTTAATTGAATACAGTAATTTATTGAAACCGCGTAAAAAATGCATTTCACAACATTATGAATTATTCAACATAATATTATACTATGCCCCATAATAGTGTAATACTGTTCGAATTTGTCACGGATTAAAAAATGTATATATAGCTAAACGCCTATTTATACCGTATTTCATCTTATAACAATATTACCTACACATGTTATAATATTCGAAAAAAACAACAAAAAACTAACGAATTCTTTGGTTTAATTTTGACGTCATGACACTCGTTCGATTTATTTCGTGCACAATTCAATTTAAATTAGATCACTTGGACAATATAGGTATTATTATAATATACTATTAAATGTCGCCGATTGAATAGAAATAGAAATGGTTTTACACGCGGCGAGTTGTATAGAATTCGAAAAACAGACACCGAACATTTTTTTTTTTGGTGGGGGGTTACATTTGCGGTGCAGGGCCGGTTTGATCCATATTTCCCGGGCCGAAAAAATTCGCCAATCCGCCCCTGTATGCATTAATATTTTTACATAATGCATATTTTGATTTTTGAGTGCATAATCCATACATTTTAAAAGTATTTTATTCCTTTTAATTTTTATATATTTAACAGTCAAAATTAATAAAATTAATACTTGTGAAGTCCAAATAGCTTTGTCATCTTTATAAATTTTAATTAGG